TGTGCTCTGGAGAAGGAATTTTGTGTTTGTATCAGACATATACATGCTTTTCTAATTGTCTCAAAATATGAATGGGAAAATTATAACCYTTCAGAAAACTCACATTTCTATACATAGCCAGATAGTTATTTCTTGGAGTTTACCAGTTAAATTTGCTGAAAATTCTATATTTACAAAGTGTTATATCCCATTTCCCGGTTATTGACCTATCTGCACATTCACTCCCAACTGATACAGCATTTTCTGACTCCAGTATAGAAAGCAAAGCCTGATTGTTCCTGCCGAGTCGTTCCATTTCGGTCTAGGAAAGGTTAAAGCCAGTAATTGGAACCAGAGATAATTTTCTCGTGTGCTTATAGTCATATAGCCACTGTTCCCTCCTACAATGAGTGATCTTACACTGTTCCCAGTCCAGATGCAGAAATTAAAAAGTTATACTGGGAAATAAGGAAAGGAACAGAACAAACCAAAGCAGCTGACTGTTTTGAATGAGGATGAGTAAGAAGAATAGGAGAAAAGGGACTAGGTTCATAAATGAGAAAAACTGTTGACTAAGAAAWAGGGATAACTCACTGGCAGTGAGTATGAGGTAAATGAACTAAGGGGCTTGAAATCCAGAGAGAAGGTCAGACACTGACAAAGAGATGGAGAGATGAAAAGAATGGTACCACTGGCACCAGGTACCAGAAGTACTACAAKACCCAAAGAGAACCAGGAAAATCTGAGACTCCATGCATAGGTGAAGGAACTACTACTCCATAGTCGGAAGAATGGAACGAAATGATTGTGATGAAGTGGCAGGAGAAAGAGCTTAGGAAGACAAAGGTCTATGAGAAAGGAGAGATACTGGATCTTCATTGAGAAGACATAGTGGGATAAGACATAAACAGACTGACACCAGATTATTCACTGCTGTTGCTGAACAAGGGGCTGGGTCTGAGTCATCCCACACCAGTCCTTTTCGCAGCTCTCCCACTGTAGCTTTTGTTTTCAGATTTCCAGCTATCCTCCTAATTTCTAAGCAGGCACTCAGAGATGTGAAGARAGCTAATCTGTAGCCCACAGACTATATAAACAGAGTAAACAAAGGTTGTAAGAGGAGAGAACTAGAATTACTTTTTTTGCGGTCTCACAGCAGGTTAGTATCAAAACCAGGAATAGAATTCAGGTTCCTCCCTCTGAGTCAGGTGCCCAGTTCCCTAGTCTGGCACTTTTGCTCTGCTTTCATGTAGTGTATAGCATAGACTCATTGGCAGAGAGGATCCATTCCAAGAAAAAGACAACATACGTAGGGACATATGTAGGGAAATATAAATTCCTCTGCCTCATTTCTGAAGTAACTGGACACAAGATAAAAATCCCATCTGCATGCCATATAGACATTACTATATATTAGTCCAAGTATAACATCATCCTAATGGGGCTATAAGAACTAAGCTGTTTTGCATCTGGCCAGCTTGGAGTACTAGCAGAGCAATCCATAGATTCCTATCCGTAAATCCGTCTCTGAAAGCACCTCCTGCGACTACCTATCTGCATTGCAGTGAGGATACCTGAAGTCCAGGGTCCAGTACATYTGTCCTATTCTCTACCTATTTCACCTCTCTCACACCCAACCATCTAAACCGTGGATAACTGGGCATTTCCAGCACAGCTAGAGCATTTGAATGAATTCTTGTTTCATGCTATTAGAATGAAAAACTCTACAAGAGTTAGCTAGGCTTTGACAAATCATTACAGTCTTTTTGAATTACTAAGCCTTTGTCAGATTTCAATAGCAGCAGTACAGTTGTAGCTTTGAACAGTGTCTTTGCTGCCTTAGAAAGAGTGTAAAATTAAAAACAAGCTAATGAGCATAACGAATGGGTTCATTCCCAACCCAACTCATTAACAGTTTTTTTTTATATATATAGAAAAACAGTATGTAGCTAGTTATTTCCCTAGTTTGCTTTCAGATTCCAAGCAAGCACTGCAATTAATAATAATAAAGTGTTAATCAACAGCAGTTGCTACAAAAAAAAAAAATGAGAATTGAGAGTGCAGATGAAAAATCTGGTGTTTCCACACGGATATCTGCAGGATATGTGGATCTATTCACTGCTAAATGAAATAGCTGCAGAGGAGTTAAACGAGACTGCCTGGAAGAGTAACTGACAGAAAACATACACTTTGCTGGAATACCTGGAATACTTGGAATACAAATTCTGGATGCTTGCAAGGTTCAGMTGACATCAGCAATACTAACTTCCATTTGCCAGGCAATAATATCTCATAATGTCTCTTTCTCAAAAGTGCCAAACTGAGAAAGGAAATACCAGCTACCTCTCTGTATTAATAGATACATACACTCACAAGTCTATCCACCCAAAGGTTCAGTGGGGCACTGGAGATCTGTCTCTACACAAACATATCTGCCAGCATTTATCTTTTAAATATTTGCAGTTAAGTCTACCCACATCTTTTCTAGAACAGTAGAGAACATCTGCAAAGAGAATTTTGGCTCTGACCATGCTCTAGAGGCTACCTGACATAAAATGCTGCTTCTCTCTCCAACATTKCTAGTACATCTTTTAAACGTTCTCTGCTGTCTCATGCTGTTCATCATAAAAGGAGACCAAATTTCCCAAGGCAGCTACAAATAAATAGATTTAATAAAGAATGGGAAGCTTCTGACAGCCAATGCATAAAATTAGGGTTGTGGTTTTGCACAACATGATGACATAAAAGGACAGAAATCAGTTATACATATGGCAAGCACTGTTATTGTGCTATAACATAATCAGAAAATCTTTATTGACTTTGGTTGATTAATTCTATCATTAACTATAAGGTCAATAAAAGTTATGATCAAAATTCAGACAAAATGTCTGCACTCTGCAGGCCTGTTTATGCTSAGTAAAACTTAAGGAGAAGGTTCCATTAGTTAAGGTGAGTGCACTGAAATCAGAAAGGGAGGTAGAACAATGAACTCAATGGAAATAATTAACAAGCAAAGGGAAAATTATCATTGTTTCATGGTTGTAATGGTATTTAAGACAAGGATACCCCTCTTTAAAAAAAAAAAAAAAAAGATATTTGTCACAGAAGAATTCYAATGAACTTCAAACTGTTTGCGGTTGTTTTCAACATTGTTTTACGTTAATATTTTCATAGCTTCTTCACAGATCCTAAATTTCAAACTCATAAGAATTAGTATTCTTCACCAGAATACATCCAGTGGATCTTTTAAGTCATGGCATGTTTACAAAGTCCATAGTAATTTGCCTTCACTTGAAACTTATTTTATGACATGCATTTCCTTGATGACGCTCCAACTTCCTCCAGCTAGTGCTCCTTCTTTTATTGGATAAGACTCAGCCTTGGCTTAAACATGTTTTACTGTCCTCTGAAGTACCAAGTATCCTTCCATTGACAACAAGTGCAAGGATAAAAAGTGGCAAGCACTTAAGCTAAAGAAAGCAGTGCAATAGAGAACAGCAGAATCACAGTTCGGCAAAGGCTGAACTCTAGCATGCGTAGACTCAGGATAAGGAAAAGCCATCACAGATGACTGAGATGAGAAATTCTATTTATTGGGCTAATTTCCTGCAGGTATATAATTCCCACAGAGCCTAAGGTATTAAATTGCCACTACACTTATTTTTATCACAAAGACCCAAGTAGCAAGGTAAAAGAAGCTAACTGTGGCACAACCTGCCACAGCTCAGGTGCATAACATTCAGAAACAGTAATCTACAAGAATCTACCAGGCCATAGAGTCTAAATGCAAAGGAATAAAGGGATATCTGGAGTACAGCCAAGTCTATAAACAAGTTACAAGGATAATTGCAGAAAGATCATGATCTGGCAAAGAAGATGGCCATGGCAACAGAAGGCAGAGGCGTTTGATGATGAAAACCAGAAAGAAAACAGAAGAGAAAATTTCCCATGCAGAGGAAGGGGAAGCTGAAGAAGGCTCTTAATTTCATGCCCTTTTAAAATCTGCAATTATCTGGAAAAATAGTACAAGGCAGCAATAAACACCTGGTTATCCTCTACTAACATGTCCAAAACTCATTTCTTGTAAAAAGAATATGAGTATTTTTAATTCTACCTCACTTTAAGTAAGCCCTTTGCAATGGTGCAAAGATAATCTAACCTGTCACACAGCTGAAAATCTCCTAACCTTCTTAACAACCGGAATACATTTCTTCTGATTTGTACAAGATCAAAGTAAATGAGGGACTTCTTCCTACCAGGGAATATTGCTAAAAATTAAAGCAAATTACATTCATTGAAGCAAGAGTTGTTTATATATCTGTTTTGAGAATTCACTGTTAGTTGGTGCATTGTCTTTTTAAGGCTTCCTTTATTATGTCTGCCATGCTCTTACTGCTGAAGACATTTTCTGATTACTTGATGGGACAGTRTCTTTATCTGTGTGCTGGCAAATGGAGTAATTGTAAAATTGAATTGCATATACAATTATGCTTAGACTGAAAGGCTGTGTAGAGTCGCTCACTCTCCAATACTCCAGAAGAACTTATTAGAACAACATGAGGAGGTGGTTAGATCCCCAGTCTTCAGCATGTCCATTGGTAACCAATAACAGTTAGAAGAGAAAAACAAAGCTCCTTGCAAAAACACACAGGGAACATTATTTTCAAGATTAGATACCTCTAACTCCCTCCAGCATTCTTTTTCCACTCATCTTATACAAGCATCATGTCTCAAAGCCTCTGCACTCTGTTAATCCCAATTCCACATTTCCCTTCTTACCCAGGGAAAACAAAACCACATTTTGTTTTCTCATTCTTTTAGGAAATACAGTTTTTTTCTGTTTTTTTTTTTTTTCTCTCAGCTTCCCAATAACCAAGCTGTACTGTACCACTCTACTTTCTACCTTTATCTGCCATATTTTGTTAAAGGACAAGTTGTAAGAAAATAACAAGCTATAGGAAGATAGAATAAGAATTTGAGAACTTCAAACATCTTATGTAAAAGCAAATATTAACACTAACCTCTTTCATTTTTTCCAGTTCATTCTGTAGTGCCTGTTTTGCAATTTCAACTTCTATAAGCTGCTGTCTTAATTTTTCATTTTCATCTTCTGTCACGGTACGTTTTTCTTCCACGTTTTCTAGCTCATGATGAAGTCTCACCGATACATCTTTTGCAACCTAAGCAGTATATCATTTCAAAAGAAAAAGAAAAATAATTACTGCTACAGTACTAAGTGTCTAAGCAACCATTTGAAGGTAATTATTAAAAGTTTTTATGAAAGCAGTATATAAGAAAACAGTTAAACAATTATATTCACAGGCAGAATTCTAAATGATTCAAAATTAAAGCCAATTTCCACAAAATATTTTATATTCTTCTTACGGACTTCATTGAAAAGTACATTAGACACCAAACCACTAAGCGCTTTCTCAGGTATCTTTATGTCAACAGCGAAATAGCATCTTCCTTATTTTTGGAGGCAAYGAAGCAGGTATTTTCTCTCAAGCTTTGCCCGTTCACAGTTATCAATGCACTGAGGAAGCCAGCCTTCAAAAACATAAGATGTAGAAGCATCAACAAAAGCAGGGTCCATCTTCCCTAGGCCTGCTCTACCTCCTCTACCTCATTGTATAGGGCTACAAGCAATTGGGACACGTTTTTAGTTCTGTCTGCTAGTGTCCCTCTCCCTCAGGCATGGTTATACACCAACACCTAACATTTACTAGTATTGATTATTTTGAAGAGTAAAATACAATCAAACCTTTCTACTGAGCTTTTTATTCACCCAAATAGTGTGCAATATTTTTAAATGAAGATGGACATTTTTGTTCTATATTTTGAAAAGCATTTTCACAGGAACAGAGTTAAAAGGCAGATGCCAAGGTCTAATTCCCTTTCCTTGTGTAAGTAAGTTAATGAGAATATCACCATTCGAGCCGCTTGCACTGTGTTTTCCGAAACCACCAAAATTATAGTTATACATTAAAATTAGTCAAATATGCACTAGCCATTGTTATGATGGTGATTTTCACATACATGGTTTGAAAAGCCTAACTTGTCACTTTTTTAGAACACTGGAAAGTATAATTCATCATTTTTATCATTAGCTAGGGGACCTCAGAGAGCTATCGTTTATGGCTTTCAATATGACAGTCATTTTTTTAAGAACTTCCTCTGACACACTGAAGAAAATCTAAAGAAAATCTAATAATTGCAAGCGAGCAATCTAGAACAATCCGATCTACCAGCAAACAGCAGCAGCCCGTGACTCACCCTCCCAACAAGCAGCACAGTGTGCGCGTTGCCGGCACCACACTGCAGCGCTAGCACAAGATCAGCCAGGAACCTCCCCCACCGCACACGCACTCCAGACAAAAACTGCCCAACAGAAACCGCGCGTGGAGAGGAATTTCAATGATAACCATGCTCCAGGGAGACTGCGCGATGAGCTGAGAATCACCTCAAGTCGGAGGGCTATATCTTGATGTCTTTTCCTGTACTTGTCTTTAAATTGTGCTTATCCACCATGGTTATGCACTCAAAACCGAGTCTGAAGCACAAATGTAGTCTCTACCAATGATTATAAAGGGAGAGTAAAATCATTTTCGGCAAAAAAATGGTAGAGTCACAATTATAAAGACAAATACTACACAGCAAACTAGATCYCATGGGAGAAGGGCTCACTTATGCAAGATAATACGGACGTATGCAAGATTATATCTCTAAGGGATTGCACTCCCTTGTAAAACAGACCATGAAACTTTGAATAGAAATTCCTTGGAAAGGACTCGTGAATACTGCAAAGAACTGCACATGAGAGACAGTTGTAGTCAATTTAAAAGAGGAATTCCATTTGGCAGAAATTGGCATTTGATATTCTTCCTACTCCAAAGTAGAACACAATCTTGATCTGGAGGAAGATTTTACAAGAAGGCTACTCCTTTTCAAAATAGTTACCTGCTTATTAGGCAGACCAGTTACAAACGCTAATTAAAGTGACGCCTTTATCTGGTTCAACCTGGGCCTTGAAATAACATTTGCAGGTAACATGGCAGGTGAGCACCTCACCACAGAATCAATTTCTTCCCTAGTTCCCAGTTCCTCAGTGCGTTGAGAACTTTGTATTAATCATTAATACAAAGTAGCACTGAAAAAACAAAGAAACCAGTTCCATAGGTCAGAAGCATAATATTCTCTTGGGACACGTAGGTTCATGTTCAAATTCTGTTTGCAAAGCTGAATGTCTCAGCTATTCACCTGAGCACCATTTTAAATGTGCAAGATGTCTCTTGTTTTGATCAGAAATTCTATCTTATCTCTGGAAAAGCTTTTTCCACTACTTTTTTCTGACCAGAAAGTAAACGTTTAGTCAAGAGTCATGTGAAGTGCTCAACTTGGAGAACGGCCATAGCTAAAAGAGCAAATGTGATTTTTGAATATGCACAGAAACAGAATATTAAATAGAAATACAGGTGAGGAAAATAACATTCTAGATGGCATTAAAATTACTGGAGAATTACTGGAGAAAATTATTGGAATAATGTATCCTAGCCTGATGTCCACACCTGACAAGAATGAAGACAAGCTGGAAACTTTTCAGAAATGATAATTCAAATCTGAAAAACACGTCTAGAAATAACAGACTTGCAAACTATACTAGTTATCAAAAAGAAGCTTAAAAATGACCTTGTTCATAATCCTCTATTAAATTAGTATTTTTAACTGTAATCAAGAGAAGCCAGCCAAGTGATTATAGGCAAATAGTTGAAGACATACRTATATATAGGCCACAAAAGAAGTGTGGCCTATAAGCTCAATTTGGCTACACTGAGGTCTGCATTTCCACTGTGAAATGTCTGGGAGACTTTTCAACTGACAAAAAGTGCAAAGTGATTCAGTAGGTGATTCAAAGTGATTGGGTAGGAAATGCCTTAACAAGATGTAGTGGATGGAAGTTAAACAACTTCCATCTAACACAAGTTTTTTTTTTTTTTTTTTCCTGTAAATGGAGCAATGTGGAATGTAGATTGTGATACTTTACCAACAGCAACCTTTGAACAAAGACTGAAACTCTTCTATGGGCTAAACTATACGCTTTGGTTCATTCAGAAGTTGCAGACTGGGTACCAAGAACACACTAAAATTCTGTGGGCTGCGCTTATAATTTTAGGTAGATAAGGAAAACTCTGGCTTTACTGAAGACAACTGCAGCTTTTCCACTGACATCAACAGCCAGGGTTTCATGTCGTCACTTTGCAAACACTCAATTTGCAAATACAGTGCTGAAATGTGACCAAGGTGCATTGTAATCCCCTAAGAATCAGCGGGACAGCTCAGAGAGGTTGGTTCAACGTGACGGTGGTGGCGTATGTCGTGTGTTCATCSTAACAGTTCCCAAACCTCCAGATCTTAATCCACATTTGTATCACTTCTTGTACACTAACTGAATAAAAGCTGCTTGGACTAAACCTGTGAATAACGTACTCATAAAACCTTACCACAGGGCTGCTTACTGGAAAGCTTTTAAGTCTATTACTAAGGTAAGTTTGGGCCACTGCTATCCCCCATGCTGTAGTAACYGCACGTTTTACAGTGGTTTTACAGGCTGGAAATGCCTGAGTCMCTGAAGACCAGCGAGTTCGGTCGCGTCTCTCCCTCCCGGCATCCCTCTCCCTGGCACGCGCTCCCTCCTGTACCTTGAGGTCCTGCTCCATGCTGCGCAAGAGCTCGCCGTCGATCTCGCCGGTCTGCGCGTAGCGGAGCCTCTTGCGCTCGGCCTTGCGCAGCCGGTACTGGAGGATCCGGCAGTTTTTGTTGGCTCGCTCCAGCTCGTGGCGCATTTCTTGCAGCTGACAAGCATCCTCCTCGAAGAAGCTGTCCCTCATCTCGTCCATCTCGGTCCTCAGTTCATCGATCTCATTCTGACACCGGGGCAAGTAAGACGGGGTGCAACAGGTGGGTTGAAAAATGACAAAAAAGGAAACGTCAGGGAAGCCAAGCACAGGGGAAAGAGGCCAAAACGGAGCTCGAGGACAGGCCCTCTTCCCCACGAGGACATGGGTAATCATGGCAGGGCTCAGCATACGCAGGGGGGAACGCACTGCTGCCCGCACACCCCACGGCAGGGCCATCTTGTGCCTCCCGCACGGCCGGTGCCAGGGAAGCGGGAGACAGGGCAGGGCCCCCTCACTACAGAGGGGAGAGACCCCGGCCCGGCCGGGTCCTCCTGCCCCTCGCCCCCAACCCTCCCGGCCCCGGCCCCTGGCGGCGCCGCAGGGGCCCCTAGCCCCACCCAACGGCCCCAACCGCCGCCCCAACGGCCCCAACCGCCGCCCCAACGGCTCCGAGGCCCCCAACCGCCGCCCCAACGGCCGCTCACCTTGAGGCTCTCGTTCTCCTCGCGCAGCTTCTCCATCTCCTCCTGCAGCTCCTCGTGCTGCTGCTGCGGGCTCAGGGCGCCCTCGGCGCCGCCCGCCTCGCCCTGCCGCAGCCCCTCGGCCCCGGCCGCCGCCGCCATGGCGGAGGGCGAGGAGGAGGAGGAGGAAGAGGAAGGGGAGGCGGCCAGGGGAGGCTCGGCCGGGGCGGCGGCCGCCGTGCAGGAGGAGGAGGAGGAAGGGCTGCTGCTGCTGTGGTTGCTGCCCTTGGTTTGCATCTGGGCGGCCGCCGCCAGCCCCTTCCTGAGGTGGAACTGGATGAGCTCACTTTGCAGGCAGCCCTCCCGCCAGTAGCCGCCGCCCGCCGCCGCGCCGCGGCCCTTCCCCGCGCCCGGGGAAGATGGAGCCGCCGCCGCCGCCTCCCCCGCGCCCTTCAGCGGAGACCGCCCCGCTTTCCCCCGCCACTGCCTGGGC